AAATGTACATGTCATCAGTTTGTCTTACTTCATTTTGTTGAGACATTTTTTTTCTTTGATAGGGAGGTCTTGGTCATGGAATTCATACAAGGAACTCCAATAATGAATCTCAGCAGTGAAATGTCTAAAAGAGGAATTGATCCTGCTGGTAAGCTTGCAGCAATGGCAAAGCAGTAAGCCCCTTCATCCCAAAAGAGTATGGTTCTCATTTCCTTATTTTATGAGGCATACTCTCTCTCTCTCTCTCTCTCACACACACACACACACACACACACACACACACACACACACACGCACATAGCTATTGCCCTCCTTATATTTGTATTAAATTTAATTTTTATGTCAAACATGTCCTTTCTTCAATTCCTTTGAGTGCTCTAGCCATCTCAAAAGATATATTCTCCTTTAATGCAGGAAGATTCTGACGGATCTTACACTTGCTTATGGCCAAATGATCTTGAAGGATGGCTTTTTCCATGCAGATCCACACCCAGGAAACATCCTTATCTGCAACAACACAGAGGCAAGTGATGCTTATTACAAAAATGTCAAGATATTTCCTTATGGCAAAGACCTATTTTTAGATGAATATTCTTTAATGGTGACCCTCTATTAGGTAGCTTTGCTTGACTATGGACAAGTGAAAGAAATGCCAGAGGATTTACGACTGGCTTATGCAAATCTTGTCATTGCCATGGCCGATGATGACCTTTTGAGAACTAAAGAAAGTCTCAGGTAAACTCAATCTCTTTTTATGTTATGTCATTTTTCATGTGATAATTAGATCTATACAAGGACAGTAAATTCAAATCAATAGTCCTAGTTAAAAAAAAATCGACTGCTGGCCTGATATTCCTTAAGGGACCCTCTGTGCCCTCTCCATATTCTGGCTGTGGATCTCCTGCAAGCCATCATCAACAAGGCCTGTCAGATCTGCTCAAGTAACTTCTTCACATTGCTGAGGTGGATTTTCCATTATCCTATACACACACGACATGCCCTTGGTCATGCAGGCCTGTCCTCGCCAGCTTCTTTACCTCAAAGGGCTTCTTGAGACTTTTGGCAAATTGGCTGGTTTATGTGTGCTATCCATCAATATTCCAGAAGGCAGAACTCAATACCTGGCTGGCCTTTTTCACTGTTTTTTCTCTTTCTTGAACACTGGCACCTTTCCTTCGACGTATGTAAGGCTCCCTCTTGACCTGTCAAGATCCAAAATCTGTGATTATGCCCCCTCAATGAGCGTATTGAACGAAGGCGTATATCGAACTCTTCCTTCCTTTTCCTTGGGCAACACATCCTTGTCGCTAGATCTGTCCTTAGCCTGCTGCCCACCCAAATTGCTCCTTGAGGTTGCCAGAGGGGGTTAAAGAAACTATTGACTGCGCTTGCTGTATATACCTGTGGGAAATTCGGAAATCATGATTAGATCTAAATTGATGGCTACCTGGAACAAGGTCTGCAAGCCGAAGCTGAATGGTGATTGGTATCCTGATTTCTCAGTCCAGAATGAGCTCCTCTCCTGAAATTCCGTAGTAAATTGTACAACAAGCTCGACATCCCCTTGGTACAACTTGTCTAGAAACACTACGTGAGGTTGGTCTGCACGCCTTCAGCTCTACAGGTTCATTCTTGTGGAAGGACACCACCATTCTTTCTGACAAACTCCTTAACAATGCAAGCTGTAGCATCACTCGGGGGGACACATGTCACGCCCCAGACAGGGATTTGAGGTGGATAGGGGTGGAAATGGCTAGGGTTCGTCGAGTTCATCAGGGGAAGAGGAAAATCACCAGGGAAGGAGACGAGATACACTAACTACTTTACTCTAAAGTTGTATCTCAGTATCTCTTCTCTTGCTTTCTTTCCAAGCCGAAATGGCATATATAGAGTTCATTACAATGGTTCCCTGTAGCCAGGTGCTTCTAATTGGAATGTAAAAGTAAACAGTGAATAAGTGCTGTAGTATAGTAACAGTCTGTATCGAATCTCCCTTCATTCACTCTCACAAGATCTTGGCCGTCCGTTAACTGAACCAACAAGTGTCGAATATTTTGGACACTGCGCTCGTCAGGCTTAAGTGTATTGACTGACGGCACTGACAATGCCATCCACTTGAGATCAGCCTTATCCTCATGGCTTGAACGATGGAAAAGTCGTCTTGATATTGCCATGTTCAGTAACTAATGGAACATGAGGGAGTGGAACAGCATGTTTGCCAACATGTTCTTTGGGCTAGCTGATTGGAACACAAGATGAATTGCTGCTGTATCTGGTAGCTGCAGTTTATAGGACACCTGACCAATTCTCTGTAGCACTTTAAAAGGTCCATAATACTTAGATCGCAGTTTCAACGACCCCCTTAACCCAAATGCATTCTGGCGATAAGGTTGGATTCTGATATAAACCATTGCTCCTTCCTTCAATTGTCTTTCTGTCCTTAACTTGTCAGCTTGCATTTTCATGCATTCTTGAGCAACTTGGAGATTTTCTTTCAGCTTGTGCAGAACTGTTAACTGAACTGCTGGACTGAATGTATCTGTTTTGGGTGTACCTTCAGTTGCCATTCTGATTTGATGGTACCATGATATTAGATCCAGCTTGCAGAAGATTTTTGCTCCATGTAGTTCATCCAGAAGATCCTCAAATACTGGCATTGGGTACTTATTCTTGATTGTGATAGAGTTCAGTTCTCTAGTCAACACACAGTCTCCAACTGCCATCTTTCTTTTCTAACCATAACAGCAAGAGAAGAATAAGGACTCAAGCTCGGTTGTATATGTCCATGGATTTAATCATTTTCTTGATTATCTCCTGCATCGCCCCTTTTTGCATGTGTGGAACTCTATAAGGTCTGAGGTTAGGTGGTTGAGCTCCAGCAGTCAAAGGGATTTTGTGGTTGCAATCCCTGTTTGGAGGCAGTGATGTAGGTTCAGAAAAGACCAGAGGGAAGTTATCCAGTATATTCTGAACAAGGGGGTTCTGAATGTTTGTAGTCACTGGTTCCTCTGTTTCTAGTGCATACATCTGTATAATATATCCCATCACAGGTTTAGTCAACAGATTGCTCATAGCAGTAGGTGTAACCAGGGACTTAGCAGGAGCTGTATTGTGATCAGTGAAAACAATAGGAAGACCATTTCTGTGCACGGTCAAAGTTCTCATGTCGAAATCCATTGTAATAGGACTGACTTTACACATTCAATCACATCCCAAAATGATATCATAACTGTGGAGGGGCAGGGTTTTAAAGACAGAAGAAAACTTCTTTCCCTGAATGAAGTAGGTAGTGAGAGGGACAATGGCAGTAGACTGTAATCGTTCCCCACCAGCCACACTGACCCTCTTAACTTGTGTACTGTGTAAATGACAGTTAGCAGTAAGAGCAAAGTCATAGTTAATAAAAGTGTGTGAACTGCCACTATCCGCAAGCGCCACTGCTTGATGTCCCCCCATGTTAATCACCAGTGAAAATGTAGCAGGGCCTCCTGTGCCAGCTACCGCATGACAAGATATCAACATAACTTCAGATTTTTGCTCTGGGTGTTCTGGAGTATTAGGAGCTGTGTGATAAGCTTGATCTGGTGTAGGTGAAGTCTCTTGTTCCTCTAATTCAACTGTATCATCATCAATCTCCTGCATGATATGGAGAGTTCTGCCTCGTCTACATCTATGCTCTCTGTTCCAAGGTTCTTTACAATACCAACATTGTCTTACTCAGGGCCTGTTCTGAAACCATCTAACTTCTCAACTTCTCATATCTAGCTTCTTATCCGGCTTCTTGCTTCAGCTGGCGATGTGAAAACGTTCTGGAGCGCCAACAGCTTCTCCCAGCGACTGGATGACCAGACAGCCCAGCTGGGGCGCTCAAGGCCCGCTTCTGCCACCTTGGGCCGGCTGGAAAGGGCCCATTTCGGACCAAACTGCTAGGGCGTCAATGGCGCTGGGGCCAGATCCTCCAAGCCACGGAGTCGCAGCTCCGTGTACCAGGCGCGACGGACGGCGGAGACGACGGGATCCGGCCAGAGGCGACCGGATCTGTAGTCAGAGTCGACGATTTGGCCGGCGGCGGGGGCTGTTGGGCGTGGCAGCGGCGGTAGGGTTACAGAGGAGAAATGAGGGGGAGGGAGTTGTCAGCAAGCGGGCTGTTCTGCGGGATCGAGCGAGGGGAAGGTGAGCGAAACGTTTTCTTGGTGGTGGCAATTCGGCCGTAAATAACAGCAACTTCAGATTCACAAAAAGGGGAAGCTGGGAATCGGTCGCTTTGCAAAAATGAACTACAGCCCATCGTGGCTTCCTGGATTTCGGCTTCGGGAAGCTATATCGTTCGGGATGGCTTCGAGCAGAATTTTTTAGAAGTGTGAAGTGGGAGGAGATCAGAACAGGCCCTCAGTCTGATTCCCAGCTGGATGAACTCGCTCAGCATGGTTTCTGTTAAAGTGTGGTCTGTGAGGAGTAGGGGCAAATGTTGCTCTTGGTTTCTGCATAGTGGATTAATAATAAGCCTTCTTTGCATTAGCAGCATTTTCATACATCTTTGCATACCAATAAGCTTCCAGCACTCTCCTAGGTCTCTGACCACTCACGTCATGCTTAATGTCTGCTTGAAGGCCACCTGTAAAACAGCTCATAATGAAGCTTTCACAAGATTGCAGAAAGTCGCCTAGGTCACAAGATCGCACTCCCCTAGGTCTCTAAGCCTTCTTTGTATTAAATTTGTGTTTGTCGAGTTCGACAGTGGAAAAGGAAAATCGCCAGGAAAGGAGGCGAGATACACTAACTACTTTACTCTAAAGTTGTATCTCTTCTCTTACTTTCTTAACAAGCCAAAACAGCATATATAGAGTTCGTTACAATGGTTCCCTGTAGCTGGGCTCTTTTAATTGGAATGTAAAAGTAAACAGTGAATAAGTGCTGTAGTAAGTAGTAACAGTCTGTATTGGATCTCCCTTCATTCACTCTCACAAGATCTTGGCCGTCGTTAACTGAACCCACAAGTGTCGAATATTTTGGACAATGGGCTCGTCAAGCTTAAGTGTATTGACTGACAGTACTGACAACACAACCCTCTTAGGCTCCCCCCTCCATCTCTCTTTATCTCTCTGTCTGAGTCGCTAGACCTTTTCCACTTTTCTATCCGTTGAAGCTTTTGATGAACTTCAAGAGTTAAGGCGGCTCCTCATTGTAAATCTAATTCTCCCCTCCCTCCCTGAGCCGCTAGACCTTTTTCTACCTTACTCTCTTCATTCAAGCTTTATATGAACTACATGAGTTCATGCATCTGATACCTGAAGTTACTCCTGGGCGAACACCTTCTACTATTCCAAGAAATTCTACAATCTTGCTTTCCAGCACAGTCAGACACCAGCTTATCTCGTGTTTGGATATCCAAATGCACTTCCAAACTGAAGATTTCTCGTGGCTTCTTCTCAGCGACAGGGATATGCTCGTTCACCGAAACTATCAAGTAGGTGAAGATTCCAACTGCGTCCTTTGTACTGCTGGCAGCCTAAAAACCAGGGATCGTCTATTTTGGAGGTGCCCCTTCAGCACCTCCTGCTGGCAAGCTATCTGCATTCAGCTAGACGTCACCTCGGATTGCAATCACATGATCAGCGTGGCCAAAATCGCCTTCAGCAAGCCTTTCTCATTGGAGGCTTTCATCATTGCAGCATGGAACAGACCATTTATGAACAAAGGAACACTGAAATTGTCAACAGCATCATCCCTAGTTTAGGCTCCTTAAAAAATATCTCCTTGCCCTTTTATTTAAAATGAAAGAGGGTGTTGAGGGCCGCACAGTTTTCAGTTAAAACAGAAATTTCAGTTTTTTTATGTGCTAGTTTGTAAGAGAACAATCTTGGGCCAATGGGTCAGCATAATAAATATTTTTAATGGAGTCATGATTTGTTGGTGAGTAACTGTTGGCATATTACTTGTTTTTCTTATGGATTTATCAAATGTTTCAGTGAATTTGGTTTCAAAACATGGAGTATAGCAGACAATGAGCTAGAAGAACTGTTTCAGTTATCTCTTAGAATGTTTGATACAAGATTACCGCCTGGAGTAACCGTGCTCTCGCCCTTTGCTGATGATTCTTCACTGAATAAAGTTGGAGTAGAGGTATGCGACTGTATTATCTGCACTTCCATAGTTCAAACATGAAAGACAATTGGCATATGTTGTTGCTCCTCCATTTACTTGAAAACTCTTACAGGCATACAAATGATTTGTGTATTGGTGCAGTTTAACTTCCTTCTAAAATGTCTTCTTTCTATTTGCTTTCCTACTTGAAGAGCTTCCCAGAGGAATTATTTTCGGTGCTTCGAACGATACAACTGTTGCGCGGGCTGACTGTAGGGATGGGCCTCCGTTTTTCTTGTGCTCAGCAATGGAAACCAATTGCTGAGGAAGCTTTGTTAAAGGCTGGGAGAATAAAAGGTAGTACTTTCAGCATATTGGTACATCTGTCGATGAGTCAAATCTAATCAGCAAGCATCATGGTTTCCATTGTGCTGCTTGCTACAGCTCTTTATATCCATAGTGTCTTTCAGGTTGACTAACTTGAACTATTTGTGTTCTTGTTCAGATGTAAAATCAAGAAGACCAAGAAGAAGTTTCCTTAGAAGGTTCTTTTAGGGAAGTAGAGATGACGACAGCCAAAGAACCAATATGTAAATCATTTTGTAACGAACTGGCAGTAACCAAAAGGCATTTTTTTTTACCTTTTTGCGAGGTTGTAGTGCAGGAGCATTTGATACTGATTATTTGTTTGTCTTTGATCACAAATTATATATAATATGACGAGAAACATGTAATTTTAAGGAAGGAAAGAAATCAGAGAAAAATATATAATTTCATTTGGGCTTTCCTTGTTTGGTTCAGAAGGTTTGGGATTTTATTAGAAAGTGAATAGGTTCTGTTAGCATCTACTCCCTCAGTCCCAAAATAAGTATCAGTAATTTAGTATAACTTTGTAGTAACACTTATTTTGGGACGGAGGGAGTACTAGACATGATTTTACGCTGAAAGCTACTCACATAAGAAGAAGAAAAGAGGATAATGCAGATGGAAGTGAAGTAAATCCAGATTTCACCAGGTTTCACTTATCCCTTTTGAGACGCCTGACAGATTTTTTTACCTCGTTTAAAAGTTGTGGCACATTTGCAGACATGGAGTTTCTTAGATCGGCCTCATATGAGCTCGGGTGAGCAGGGTAAAAAGGAATATAAGAAAATAAAGGAAAAAAAACAAAAACGAAAATTTTAAAAACAAGAAAACAACAAAAAGAAAAACACGGAGAAAGAAAAAGAAAAACCGGAAGGGGAGTCTCCAGTCCCGAATAGCTTACGTGGGCTGGCCCGTCATCTTCGCGTAGCGATGGTACGCGCTACAATAGCAACCTATGCGCCAAATAGGATATGCCATTTCTCCACACTCGATTCTCAAAAAAAAAAAAAAAATTCTCCACACTCCACAGGTCCTTCGTTATCTCGGCCAAATTATGTCCACAGGAACGACGTGGTCATCCACAACCTCGTCTCCGTCAGGCACATGATGCCCAGACGAGGCCTGCTCAGGAGTCAAATCAAACTCCGGGAAGGACCGAGCAGCGAGGCCTTGGTCCAAAGTCACCCAGGGGCCCGAGAGGCTGAGAGGCATCGCTCTCCTGAGAGAGAGCCAGCGTGTCGGGGAAAAAAGTGCAGACCGTGCGCAAACTCGCGCTCCTGCGTGCCGGATACGACTGTGCGCGCTCGGCATCCGACGGAAGACGCTCGGCTGCTCTGGTTTCGTCCCCTCGGCTCGATCACAGTTCCGCTCCAGTAGCGTGCAATCCCATCTGTCTTTCCCGAGCACACGGGCATGGCGCACGACCCAGCCCATGATCTCACATTCCCACGACCACGAGTTGCCTGCCGCCCACCACGACGCCGCCGCAATCCCTCGTGCGCCGAGCTCCTCGGCATGCCGCACGGCCGCCTCCGTCATGTCTCCCTTGCTCTTGCTGTCTTTTGATCTGTCAAGTTGCCGAAGAGACGAGGACTCAAGCATGTACATCAATGGACACGTTGCAGCACGAGTATTATGCCGCCGCCTTCCCATCAATTCTAGAGCACCGTCGCCCCGCGTTACCGAACGGCGCATATATATAGTAGGAAAAACGACGGCACAAGATGGCCAACGAGATCAGAGTGACCATGAAAATTGTGGAGAACAACGGCTAGTCGTCGAACTGCAGCATTGGCAGCACCAACTACGCACCCGTGAGCTAAGAGAATTAATTAACGAGACCAAGCCTAGCCCCGCTACCGGTCCCTCGAGACTGCACGACAACGAGCGCGCGCCCGGAGCAGGCGTGCTGCCTGCGTACAGGTCACCGCCGTCGAGGAAAGAAGAGCGCCGTGACCGCCGTGGACGGGGCACACTTCGCCGGCGCTATTCGTCGACGACTGGGCCAAGGGGACGAAACCAGAAGCGGCCGCGCGTCCTCCGTAGGATGCCGAGCACGGACAGGTCTCAGCAAATCGTATCCTGACATCCGGTACGCAGGGACGTCGGCCTGCACAGATTTTTTTCTTTTTCTTTTGGCGTGGGTGTTGACGCTTGCCCTGTGCAGCTATCATCAGCGGTGGGATCCACCTGCTGCATGGCGCCAGCAGTACCACCCTACCATGGACGGCTTCGGCTTTGCTTGGTCGGGCAGCACGGGTTGGGGCTGCAGGGTGCGAGAGGCATCGCCCTCCACACAGAGAGCCAGCGTGTCGCTGTGGGGTGCGGGAGCTTTGCCGTGCGCAGTGCAGCTATCTTCATCGGTGGGACCCGCCTGCCTGGCGTCCGGTCTACTCGGTCTTGGTCGGGCAGCTCAGGCTTTGGCTGCAGGGTATGCGCGCAGCTTGCGGAAGGGGCAAGGAGCAGGGCGTCGATCAAAAGCGCTCAAGCCTCGGGGCGATCGCCTTTCACCGAAACGGCAAGCGCGTCCACAGGAGTGCGCAGGCCGGATGGCACCAAAGTGGGCAGGCTCGGCAGCAGCCATGCGGACCGGGCCCGCGGCCAGTGGCCCCGGGGCGTTACTGAGCGACGGCGTGCGCTGCGGCAAGAGAGCGAGCACCCCCTGCGAAGCAAGGGACTTCGCTACACCTAAACCTCGGAATGGTTTGGACTGAAACTATAGTTTCAGATCGGTTTTCCTATTGGTCTCCTTTGGTTTGGATTAAATGGGCTGGCCTCCTAATGTAGACTGAGACTGGTTTGGTTTGGGTTTTTCCTATTGTCGGCTTGGTCTGGTTTGGTCTGGTCATAGACCAAACGGTCTCAAACCGTTCCAACCCATGGATCGAGAACTAAATCAGCGACCAGATTCCCTTCCGGATCAAAGAAAGCATGCATTGGTAACGTCCTCCTCGTCTTCTCCACTGCCGGTGTCGACCATGCTCCTGCTCTCTCAATGACATGTCCGTGCTCTGTCATGTACTTGATCGGCGTGTACTGCACCAACACGGAGACGCAGACCAGCATCGACCAAGTTCTTTGGGCGCTCGTCTCGCGAGCCTCGGCTTACTACGGCACGGCCATCGTCTGCTCCTCCTCCTCGGCAATCTGGAGCCTTGTGCAGTGCTGCGGCAATGTCCCCCGGCAGGACTGAGCGCTCTGCGTGGCCGCGGCAGTGCGGGCACGGGCCACAAGCTAAGCCTTCTCCTCAACACCCAGAACACCACCGGCATGGACCTGGTCACTTTCGACCGAGCGCAGGGTAAGTTCATGTCCGGCAACGCCGCGAACAATGAGCTGGCAACGGACACGGTGCATCTCAGATGCGGCGGCGGCGGAACCATGACGACCATCTACAGGCTTGGGTATTGCGCTAGGGACATCACGGCGGCGGACTGCGGGCTGTGCGTGGTGCACACAGTGGCCGAGCTGCCCAACTACTGTCAGACCGCATGATATACAACAGTTGCATGGTGCTCTATGAGGTGTACCGCTACTTCTTCCCGCTCAACGGCGCCGGCGAGTTGGCCGACGAGGTCGGACAGTGCAAACAGGATCTCCTTAACCCGTGATGGATGGAGTTCAGCTATAGTCAACTACAGTGCTTATATCTAGCATTATAGGATGTTCTATGTACGATGCACGTACATTGTGGTGAGTAACATGCACATGCAGCAGCAGCTAATCGCCCTTCCAACGCCTCTCTTCTCTTCCCGTAGTAATCGGACACACCCTTGGTTTGAAACTTCAGTTTCAGACTCTATGCGGGCGAATAATTTGGATTGGTTTGGCTTGAAAATACGTACAGTTTGGATTGGTTTGGATTGTAGCATTCACTATTTAGTCTGGTTTGGTTTGGTTGATGCCTTTATACCTGTATGGGTTGGGCTGGATTCAATCTGGATTACAAACTATTCCCAGGCTTAGCTACACCTACGACGTAGGCTTAGTCCAACTCCAACGCACGATCGTGAAGGGACGTTCAATTTGTTCCGATTATGTCCGTTTGCATCGGCAAAACGAACATGCGTGTCTATTTGTGGCCGTCCGCTGGCCGGTGCACCCAACGTTGCGACACACTTTTGGCAAAAGCGTCCGGGTTTAAATTTAAATTTAAATTCAAATCTAAAAAAGACATAAAAAGCAATTTAAACAATAATTATATATTACAATAAAGTTCTCACGGCCAAACTGTCCACGTGCATTAAACTTAAAACATAAAAAACGAACGTAAACTTCAAATGAAACCCTAGATCGGCCGTCACCGTCGTCCTCACGGCATGCCGTCGTCGTCTCCCTTGTCTGTGCTAAGGTCGATGAAGCGATGCAGCTACCACAGGTGGGCTGGTGGCGCCTGCACTACAAGGGGCGGCGGTGGCACGCGGGATGGTGACCATGTGTCGGCCCCAACCCACATGGCCGGTGCTGACACCAACTCCGGCGTACATGGCAGGGTCATAGTCCATGACTAGGACTAGCCCGCCGCCTCCGGGGCTCCGCGTCGTTCGGCTCCTCCATCCCCTCGAGTCTGGGGTGGCGACGTCGTCGGCGATCGACAGTGCCATCTACACATCAAGGACGTCCCACTGGCCCGCTCATACTCCCTCTTGGAGTCCTTAAGCACCCTTCACACCAGCTCCTCCTCCTCTTCGGCCGTCATCGGTTGATGCAGTGGTGGCGGGGGCGGCGAGGGCGTGCATGCGCGCGACCTGGCATGCCCGCGTGCACTTGGAGGGCTGGGAGCACGCTCACGGGCCGGTGGCGGGATATGAGCACGACCGGCAAAATATGTCTGCCGCCGCATGTCCTGCTCATCACGGAACCAAGTATCCCAAAGGGGTGACTCCACATCGTACCTTGGGTCGTCGAGGAGATGCACCGGGATCTGACATCGCCGGCGGTTGCTCTCCAAGAGGCGGGCACAGACGCTCATCAGGACGACCAACACGGGCATCCTGCCAAGGAAGCAGGGTGGTTGTCTCCCAGTTTCATCGGCAAATCTGGATCTTCACATACGACCTGATGCGCGACGAGGCGACCGAGTTGGAGAAGTCGCCGACGCTCCTCGGCCCCTGCGAACCAGAGGACAAGCCCGCCTCGTGGTTGTGCTTGGCCTTCTTGCCGGGGACCCACTTCCACATACCCATTGT